ATCACAGTGATACATGAAGACTGGGCATGGTGTTCACCTGTAATCCCAGTAATTCAGACGTCAGAGGCAAGTTCAAGGCCAGGCTTCTCAATTTAGTGTCCAGGCTATTTTTCTATTTATACATTTCCAATGCCTTGCTAAAAAATAATCCCAGAACAAAGACCCTGTCTCAAAATAAAGTAAAAAAAAAAAAAAAAAGGCTGGGGGAGGGAGTGGTCAGGGCTGGAGTGGTGGCTCAGTAGTAGAGTGCTTGCCTAGCATGTGTGAGGCACTGGGTTCTATTCTCAGCACTGCATATAAATAAATAAAATAAAGGTCCATTGACAACTAAAAAATATTAAAAAAAAAAAAAAGGCTGGGGATGTAGCTCAGTGGTAAGAGTGCTTGTCTAGCATGTGTGAGGCCTTGAGTTCAATCTCCAGTACCAAAGACAAAACAAAAAAACATGAAACTAGGCACTGTGATACACACTTGTAGTCCCAGCTACTTGAAAAAGTGAAGCAGGATAATCATAAGTTTGAGGGCAGCCTGGGAATGTAGGCAACATAGAAAAACTCTGTCTCTAAAAACAGTTATAATGCTAAGCACAGTGGCACACATCATAATCCCAGCAACTTTCGAAACAGAGGCAGGAGGATCAAAAGTTCAAGGTCACCCTCAGCAATTTAGGGAGGCCCTAAGCAATGTGGTAAGACCCTGTAAATAAATAAATAAAAGGGCTGGGGATGTAGTTTTATAGTAAGCCTTTCTGGGTTCAATCCTCACTATCCCCCAAAAATACTACTAGTAATAATAATAATAAATGAATGATTACATCCACATTACATTTATTATAAGAGTTCAAGTTACTACCCTCTCTCATCTGCTGCAGATCCCAATGGTCTCCCTATCTACTATTTGGCTTCCTTAAATCTGTATTATACTCTAGAGCAAGATTGATCTTTCCAAAATGCAAATTTCTTTTTTTTTTAACGTCTAGTAACTTTTTAAAAAATTTTTTACTTTTTTAGTTGTAGATGGACAGCATACATTTATTTTTTTGTTGTTGTTTATTTTTATGTGGTGCTGAGGATTGAACCCAGTGCTTTACACATGCTAGGCAAGTGCTCTGCCATTGAGTTACAGCTACAGCCATGCAAAGTGCAGCCAGGCAAAGTGCAAATTTCTTTTTTTTTTTTTTTTTT